GAAATTTCATTTTTCGAACAAAAATTCTGTATTTATCTCGGACAGGAATAAGAAAAAAAAAGCATCTTTTGTCGAAAAATGAAATTTCACAAGCATCGCATTTTTCCTTAGGGCCTCCACAATCACGTGTTAATGTTTCAGATAATTCGGTGCACCCAGTTTGGAGAAAAGTTTCATGAACATTTTCACGTTCTGATATATATAATAACCCTTTCATATCATCTCAAGGTGATATGAAACTGTGATATATACTTATGAAAATATCAACATATTTAAAAAGCTTTTCTTCACACCGGGTGCACCAAATTATCTGAAACTTTGACACGTGATTATAGAGGCCCTAAGAAATTTCGAAGGAAAAAAAAATTGTTGCATTTATCGCAGACAAGAACGAAAGAAAGATATTTTTTTCTTTCGAAAAAATGAAATCTCATAGGAAGCGCGTTCTTCCTTGGAGCCTCCGTAACCACGTGTTAATGTTTCAGATAATTCGGTGCACCCAGTTTGGAGAAAAGTTTTATAAATATTTTCACTTATTGGTACGTATATATCACACTTTCATATCACCTTAAAAGTGCGCAGTTGGTAAAGGAAACTCGCGTCCTCGCGGGAATACTTAAAGCCTCCTCTTTCCCTCTCTCTCTCCCTGTCTCGCTCCCTCTGCCTCGCCTCCTTGGAGAAAAGGAAAGACTCGCAGCAGCTGCCCAGGAAGCGGCATTGTCGGCCGAAAAGGAAAAGAGAGAAAGAGAGAGAGAGAAAAAAAAGGCAACAAATGTAACGGGTGTTGCACCCGAATTCGACGTTGAGAAAATCTCAATTGCTCGGTCAGAAGAAATTCAGGAGTTACGATTAGAGCGCCATAATTAAGAAAAAAGGACACAAGATAAATGGTCTTAAGGTGATATGAAAGGGTCATTCTATTTACATAAGACGTCAAAATATTTATGAAATATCAAGAAAAATGGTTTTAAGGCGATATGTAACGCTCATTCTATATACATAAGAGGTTAAAATATTTATGAAATATCAAGAAAAATGGTTTTAAGGCGATATGAAACGGTCATTCTATATACATTAAACGTCAAAATATTTGACACTCTTCTCCAAACTATATGCACCGAATTATCTGAAATTTCAACACGTGATCACGGAGGCCCTAACGAAGAACGCGATGCTCGTGAAATTTCATATTTCGAAAAAGGCAAAAAAAATGTTTTTTTCTGCCTCTCGTCCGAGGTAATTACAAATTTTTCGTCGAGTAATGAAATTTCACGAGCATCGCGTTCTTCCTTAGAGCCTTTATAATTACACGTTGAAGTTTCAAATGATTCGGCGCACCCAGTTTGGAGGAAAGTTTTTTAAATATCTTTTTTCTGACCTTTTGATATATTGAGATTTCACATCACCTCAACGTTTTATACATCTTTCTTCTTTCCTCTTTTCCCTTTTAATAATTATCTCATCGCGGGCTCGTTCGGCGATTCCGGGAATGCAGGCAGATCGTTAAGGTAACGAGTCGGCTTGCTTGAAAAAGGGCGAAAGAAAGGAAGAAAGAAAGAAAAAAAAAAGGGGGAGACGAAATTGAGAAAGGGCCAGGTGGCGCCGACCATCGGATGGTCCTTCGACCCTCCCCTCTCATCCGATGACCAATTTCGGGGACCTCTTTATCGCTCGTAAACTCTCGCGATGATGACCCCCGATAGGTGGGGTGCACTTATATTTAGAGGAGCCCGAAGGCCGATCGCATTATCACGGTATCCCGTGCGCTGATAATGTGGGGTGCGCCTGGAGACGAAAAAAAAAAGAAGTAGAAATTAAGGGGGGGAAAAAATTAAAAAAAAAAATCAAATGAAATAATCGCCAAAAGTTCAAGTCAAGCCGCGTTTCATATAATTTCCCGGGCATTGTTTCCCGGTTCGATTCCGCGGAATCAAGAGAGATCCGTCCAATTGTGTCGGGAATCGCCGATTACGTAAACAGGCTTAAAGAGACCGCACTCGGTCGGCAGAGATCTTTAAAAAGTGAAATCACCCCGAAGGGGCTGCCGGCATTCAGCGTGATCGAGATCGATCGATTTCATTTAATCATCGGCCTGATTGATCGCATTCCTGCGGGTGAAGAGTTCTTCCCCTCGTGCCTTCCGTCGTCGATATCTCGAATACGGGAGACGGCACGGGGAAAACTTTCGGACAAAAAGTCCGCCCGGTTTCCTGATCTAGATTTTTCGTAGAGAGCGTTTCCCTCTGCGGAGTCGAGTTTCCACTGTGGATCGAGATAGATCGACCGGCAGCGCCTCCGCCCCGGGAGAGACACGCCGTCTCTCGGCGCCGATCAGCTGATTACCCGGAACAATTATTCCCCGGCCGAGGACAGTCGCCGAGATCGATCTCGATCGATCGCAACGACCTCCAATACGAGTTCACTGGCCAATCGGTCTCCGATCCCGCACACGCGCGTGTCCGATAACGCGAATGACACCTCCCCCCCTCTCGGATTTATCTAAATGACGCTTCTTTTTGCACGAGATATCATATCGCACTCGTTGCCGAATGTTAATCGAGGAACCGGGAGCGGTGACATGGTAGGCTATTCCTCCGTCTCGACCCGCTGATATTCCCTTCCCTTCCATTGGCCCTAAAAAAGCGGGAATTAATAATTAACCCCTACGCGACGATAACGCCCAGGCCACGAGTAATCAGTAATTAACACATTCGCGACCGGCAAATTTTTTTCCGTTTCAAATACTGAGTACTGACGAAAATAATGAAATTCTGAAACTGGTTGCCGCAAACTTGTATCGTGTATCGTCGTGGACGTGAATTCACGTCAGCGGCAACCAGGAAATAGAACTTGAAAAAGACGTGAATTCACGTCAGCGGCAACGAGGAATAGAATTTAAATGACGTGAATTTACGTCAGCGGCAACGAGGAATAGAATTTAAAAAGACGTGAATTCACGTCAGCGGCAACCAGGAAATAGAACTTGAAAAAGACGTGAATTCACGTCAGCGGCAACCAGGAATAGAATTTAAAATTACGTGAATTCACGTCAGCGGCAACCAGGAATAGAATTTAAAAAGACGTGAATTCACGTCAGCGGCAACCAGGAAATAGAACTTGAAAAAGACGTGAATTCACGTCAGCGGCAACCAGGGATAGAAACATGAAAAGACGTGAATTCACGTCAGCGGTCGCGAATGTGTTAAGAAAGGACTCGTCAAGTCGTTTCACGACTCTCGTAATTTTTCTTTTTTTTTTTCTTTTTCATAAAGGGGGAAAGCTTGAAAAGAAAAGAAAAATTCTCGAAGGATCCACCGCAATCCCTTGGACGTCGCCAATTATATATCGGCGCCTGGGAATCGCCTTATCACCGGGACTCTTATCGAGTCAATCAATGGATTATTCAAATCTCTTCCGAACAATGGGCAGGCGAAAATCGGTCGTTCGCAGAGGCTTCGCCTGTCTATCGACGTCGACATCCGGTGGACTCGTCGTTAACACTCTACCGTCTCGGTTGGCATATCATATGCCGATTGCCGAAACTGGGTCAGAATCGTCTCGCCAAGAGAGGGTCAACCTCGTATCAGTAGGTGCGACAACTGCCTGGTTATCAGTCGATGACGAGTATCGATAGGGCGGCCGAAAATTATTCTTAGCGGCTTAAGGGGATGTGAAAGTGGCATCCGAAAGCTCAATTGTTCATAAAACTTTTCATAGAACAGGGTGTCTCAAATCGTTTCATACTTTAAAACGTGAATATGTAGACCTTAAGGTAGGTCCTGAAACTCGCGAAATTTCACTTTTTATCAACTATTTTTAAAATACCTATAAACAAATTTGAAAAGAATTTCAATTTCATGAGTTTCAGGACCTTCCTCATAGTCTTCCTATTCACGTTGTAAAGTTTCAAACTATTTGGTAAATCGAGTTGGGGGAAAAGTTGGATAAACAAAACCTCTTATATGCCACTTTCACATCCCCTTAACGTGATCCAAAAGCTAAATTGTTCATAAAACGTTTCATAGAAATGGGTGTCTCAAATCGTTTCATACTTTAAAACGGGAATATGGAGACCCTAAGGTAGGTCCTGAAACTCGCGAAATTTCACTTTTTATAGACTATTTTTAAAATACCTATAAACAAATTTGAAAAGAATTGAAATTTCATGAGTTTCGGGACTTTACTTATAGTCTTCCTATTCACGTTGTAAAGTTTCAAACTATTCGGTAAATCGAGTTGGGAGAAAAGTTTTATAAACAAAACCTCTTAGATGCCACTTTCATATCACCTCAAGAGGATGACAATGCCTACGTTGACGACGTTCGTTCTTATATTGAAAGCTGTGTCGAATTATATTGGATATTGCACCAAATGGCATACTCCACCTGTCGTTTTCGTACAATAATTATAAAGAAATCGAGGTAAAACTCCAGAAATCCTCTGGATTTATACTTCCTCGGGCCCTAATTGACTGCAGAGGGACTCCCTGCGCCATCTGTGATTTCCAGGTCAATTAAATTTTCACCCCGAGACCTCGTATTACCATCCTTTTGGCATAGAAGCTTATACAACACTTTGTTTGCCTTTATCCCGTTCAAATTCGAGTTTATCGATTACCAGAGTCTTCTAAATTGTCGTAAAATTCTCCTGACCCTTTCGATTCCCATATCAGAGCCTTTGATAATTGTATATCGATCGAAATATGAGAGCTCGACGCCATTTTGGTCCTGGCCTAGGCTAAATTAAAAATTTTTTTTTAAAAGATCCAAATTTTGAATATGTCAGGACAATTCTTAGATGATAAGGAGTGATGTGTCAAAGTTTCGACAGTTTGGTCTTATACCCATAAAAAAAAGTGTATTCGAATCGACTGATTTGAAGGGGGTTTCGCATCACCTTAAGTAACTCGCAGAATGGGAGCCCCCCATCCTTACCCCTGGAACCTGGACCTTTCCCTGATAACCCGGTGACCCGATAAGCGTGATATCGAATCGACTTACCGGATGACCTTGCGTCTGTTGTTAGGGTGCAGCCTCCCCGCCATCTCCGGGTCGACTTCCTCGAGTTTCTCGAGCAATTCCTGATTCGACAAGGACTCGTCGACGAGTTTGAGCCTTTTCGCGTTTCCGTTTCCGCACACGAGGTCCCCGACCTCGTACCCCGAGGGGTCCTGGACGAGTATCTCCCACAGGAGCGACTCTATATAGTAGTTGGTGCCCCCGACGACGACCGGCAACTTCGTCCTGGAGAGCAGATCGTTTATCTGGAGCGGATAAGGAGTCAATTAAAAGGAAAGAAAAGCCCAATCGATCCAGAAATACCCAAAGTGACGACCCGAGGGAACATCCCGAATATCATTCCACGTTCGACTCCAACAATTCTAATAATTTTCTCCAACGCGGAGAAAAATAAGAGCTTAAGGTGAAGTGAAACACGTCGAGGAACTTGATCGACGTCGATAAAGAAGATTTTTCTAAATGCCTACATTGCGGACGTTCGTTTTTATATTGACAGCTATGTCGAATTATATTGGGTATTGTACCAAATGGCATACTCCATCTGCCGTTTTCGTACAATAATTATAAAGAAATCGAAGTAAAACGCCAGAGATCCTCTGGATTCGTGGTTTCTGAGGCCCTAATTGACTGCAGAGAGACCCCCTGCGCCATCTGTGATTTCCAGGTCGTAACAGAAACTTGACGGTAACGCAAACAGAAATAATCAGCTGTCCCTATTCCAACATATAAAATCGGTACACTTGACAGATTTTCCTATAAATTTAACTTTTTTTTTCTCTCCGTGAAAAAGGATACGACAGCGAGCGCCGAATTCCGGAAGTCGATCACGCTGTAATTCTTAAGGGGGTCGACAACGTCCAGCATATGATGGGGAGCCATGGCCCTCTCCTCCTCGGTCACTTTCGCTGTAATTATGTCCAGACCCCTGTAAACCTAGAAAGGAAGGGGCTCGTGGATTCGCAGGAAAAATAAAATAAAATATATATGAGGAATAAAAATCGGATTAAAAAGAAAAAGATGTAAAAAGGAACAATCGAAGCCTCTAATCGCAGCATCTCTCGAGAGAGAGAGCTCTCGGTACGTGCCATGGACACGAATTACGTACCGAGAGGGTTGCGCAACCGGCGGAGAAATGAAAAAGTCAAAGTAACGCCAGTCTAAGAGGCCGGCTTTATCAATCGCGGATATTTCGAAATCAAGGGTCCCACGTAGCCGCGAAACCGATCCTCCGGGTAGCAAATCGTAATCGGCCCTCCTCGACGAAGGTCCTCGACAAGGCCGGATCATCTCGAAAGTCATGCGAGTTTCCGATTCGTGACCCCTTCGTTCCAGTATCCTACACTGTTAAAAAAAATATATATATCATTTTATATAATTCTTCTTGGAAGTTTCACTCAGACATGGTATACTAATTTTATAACGTATTTTCAAATAAAATGTATAATATATATTTTAAATTTAGTACACTGGGAGACATCAATGCCCTCCCATCCTGCACAGGCGATGCCGTATCTGCAGGGGAGGCACTCATGTCCGCCATTGTACATATGTGTAATTAATTTATAATATATGTCATAAATTTGTGTTAATTAGGAGTTGATATTAAACGTTCAAATTTTATAACGTATTTTCAAATCAAATGTATAACATATATTTCAAATTTAATACACTGGGAGACATCAATGCCCTCCCATCCTGCGCAGGCGATGCCGTATCTGCAGGGGAGGCATTCATGTCCGCCATTGTGCATATGTGTAATTAATTTATAATATATGTCATAAATTTGTGTTAATTAGGAGTTGATATTAAACGTTTAAATTTTATAACGATAATATAAAATTCGTAATTTTTCTCCGCAATTTCACGGAGTTGCCATACGGTATATAAGATCATAAATTTACTTAGAATTTTAGAATAAATTTATGCTAATTCACTGTTAAGATATCAAATTTATAATTTAACTGCAACCTTCTGTACTAAAAGTGTATGAATTTTATGGATTTTTTTTTTTAACAGTGTACATTCCCGCCGATAGAACGGGTTCCCGATCGAAAGTTTCGCGAGAAAGGTCCCCGGGGCCCATTTTTCTGGGCCCCTCGTTCACCAGCTGATTACGGGCCCGGTCGAGTCCTTGGGAGATCGATAATCGAATAACTCCGATCGAATCTACTCGAATAGAGCCACGAGTCGCTCGCGATAATAATATAGTCGGATAACCACACTGTTAAAAAAAATGATAATTTTATAACATTTTTCTTGGAAGTTTTATTCAGCCGTGGTATACTAATTTTATTTTCAAATAAAATATGTAACATATATTAGAAATTTAGTACACGCGTGTAATAAAGTTATAATATATGTTATAAATTTCTGTTCATTAGGACTTGATATTAAACATTTCTTCTGTAGACAAACAAATTTGTTATATGTTCGAGGACGATTCCAGAGATAGTCCTGCCCTAAATGTTAAAAAAAAATCATTTTGCAAATTATTGGAGTACCGAACCCGGAATTCATAAAAAAATAGCAAGTACATTGTCCACGATGCTACCGCTTCTATTGATTGTAAACATTTTTTTAAATATTATTTAAATATTTCCCTGACTGCAGAATGTCGCTAGAATGCTTCTCCGCCAGTACCACCGACACTTGTCATCTTTCGATTAAATTTCTTGAAAAATAAACTCACATCAACAATCGTAAAATTAAAACCTCATCTAAAAAATTTGCAAACAATACATACCAAGTGACTTTCGAATATCAAATTCATAATTTTTCTTCGCAATTTCGCGAAATTACAACTTGGTGTTATAAAATTATAAATTCACTTAGAATTTTATAATAAATGAATATTAATTCACTATTAAGACATCAAATCTATATATTTACTGCAATCTTATGTACTAAAAGTGTATGAATTTTATGAATTCTTTTAACAGTCCAGTTCCCTATCAGTCACGGGTCTCGATTTCAGAGTCCCTGATAATCGCAAGTCGGACCTACCGATGTCCGTCAAAGTGCGTTCTACCGCTCGAGAAATTACTATGATTGATACTACAAATCTGGACCGGTTTCCTGATAACACCCTGAGAAAAAACCAGACCCCTAATAATCGCAAATGGGACCTATCGATGTCCGTAAAAGTGCGTTGGGCCGCTCGAGAAATTACTACGATTGATACTACAAATCTGGACCGGTTTCCTCATATCACCCTGAGGGAGAGAGAGAGAAAAAAAAAGACATTTGCCCGTTCAGCAAAGCATTGCCGATAAATTCTCGCTCTTCCTCTAATAATTCCCCCGGGGGTAAAAGTGCAGTTCCAACGAACGCAGGGGAGTTTTCTACAGAAAAAAAAAAATTCATATTAAATTAGTAGAAATAAAGTGAATTTTCCAAGTGCTCCATAACATTCAAAAGTACACCGTTGTCTCTATCGAGGAAGGGACATACGTCGTCGTCGAAATATATCCCAAATGTGAGAAAAATTTTCTTCGCCCCGTGATACATTTTTTTTTTTTCGTCATCCATCCGACAAAATCGTTTCCGCAATTAATCGTTCAATTTCCGGGCATCCCATCCCACATAAGGAAAAAAAAAAGATTCATACTAAATTAGTAGAAATAAGGTGAATTTTCAAAACACTCCATAACATCCAAAAGTACACCATTATCCCTATCGATGTCGTCGCCGAAATATATTCCATATGTGAGAAAAATTTCCGTTGCCCCGTGATACATTCTTTTCGTTTCTTTTTTCGTCTTCCATCCTACAAAATCGTTTCCCGCAATTAACATCATCCAATTTTCGGGCAATCCCATCCCATAGAAAAAAAAAAGAAAAAATTCATACTAAATTAATGGAAATAAGGTGAATTTTCAAAGTACTCCATAACATCCAAAAATACACCATTGTCCCTATCGAGGTGGTCGCCGAAATATATCCCAAACGTGAGACAAATATCCGTTACCCCGTTATACATTTTTTTCGTTTTTTTTTTCATAGTTCATCCGACAAAATCATTAACCGTAATTAACATCGTCCAATTTTCGGGCAATCCCATTCCATAGAAGAAAAAAAATTCATATTAAATTAGTAGAAGGAAAGTGAATATTCAAAGTACTCCATAACATCAAAAAATACACCATTGTCCCTATCGAGGTGGTCGCCGAAACGTATCCCAAGCGTAAGAAAAATGTCCGTTGTCCCATGATACATTTTTTTCGTAGTCCATCCGACAAAATCATTTCCCGCAATTAACAGCGTCGAATATTCGGCCAATTAGCGCCAGGAGAAGCAAGTGAAATTTCTCGCTCCGAGTGAACGTGTCTTGCCGCATTACATAGACTCCAGTCCATGGTATCGTGTAAGGGGCCATTAAGGAGAGTCCGATATCGGCGCGTTGGTATCTCCTTAGACACCGGCCAGATCGTTCGCCAGGTATAATAAGTGCCCTCGTAGAGGCAGGTACTCGCAAGTACTCGCAGGTACTCGCAGGTATACCGGTATCTTAGCCAGGTTATATATCGTTAAATCGTTCCAAGTGGCGGGGCGCGTACCGGGAGAGAAATCCCGTTGGAGCGGACCGGTGCGGACGGTCCGGGACGGTTTCCGCGTGTATAGATATCGATTGGAAATCGGCGGGGAGAAATAAAAAAGGATACGGAGGCCCACCCAGGGCCCGATTCGCAATACCTCGAAGGCTTCCGCCGTCGAGATGAAAACTGGTCCGGAGAATGGACCGCGCGTTGCCCTCGGCTCCTCCTCTCTCTCTCCCACTCGTATAGCCCGCATACGTCGGTCTCTCTCCCTCGGCGCGGTCGCCGGTGCCCTCCTCTCTCCATTCGCCTGGCACCGCCGGTCGAAATCCTCTCTCTCTCTCTCTCTCTCCGCAGGTCCTCCGTCCCTTTCCCCCCCTCTCCCGCCCTTGGTCCATCCTCCGGGGAACCGTATCCCAGTTTCTCACGTCATCCTCTTATCTCCTGCGAACCGGTTCCCCGGTATCTCTCTTTCTTTCTCTCTTTCTCTCCGTCCTCCACGCCGGACCAGGACCCGCTGGATCCCCCGATCGTTCGATCTATCGGCGATCGATTATTTATCCAGGACCAGTTCGCGGGTCCTCGCCTACCTAATGGACCTGCCTCGCGTTAGTTAACGCGCCGGCTTGATACCGATACCGATTTTTACATTCAATGGTATAAACTCAACCTGGTAAGGGAAATTCTCATCGGCGCGATCATCGACAATTTAAGGGGAAGTGAAACCTCCCCTCCAATCAAGCGATTCGAATAAAACACTTTTTTTTTTCAAGGGTATTGGACCAAACTGTCCGATTGACTCGTGATCATAAAAGAATTGTCCTGACACATTCATAATTTGGATTTTAAGGGAATTAAAGAAAAGATTTTAATTCTTAAGGCGAAGTGAAGCCCCCCTCAAATCAGTCGATTCGAATAAAACACTTTTTTTAAGGGTATTGGACCAAACTGTTCGATTGTCTCCTGATCATCAAAGAATTGTCCTGACAGATTCAAAATTTGGATTTTAAAGGAATTATAGAAAAGATTTTAGTCATTAAGGTGAAGTGAAACCCCTTCTCAACTCAGTCGATACGAATACAACACTTTTTTTTTAAAAGGTATTGGACCAAACTGTCCGAAACTTTGACACTTGACTCGTGATCATCTAAGAATTGTCCTGACACACTCAAAATTTGGATTTTAAAGGAATTATAGAAAAGATTTTAGTCATTAAGGTGAAGTGAAACCCCTCATCAAATCAGTCGATACGAATTAAACACTTTTTTTTTTAAAGGTATTGGACGAAACTGTCCGAAACTTTGAAACACGACTCGTGATCATCTAAGAATTGTCCTGGCACATTCAAAATTTGGATTTTTAGGGAATTAGAGAAAAGATTTTAATTCTTAAGGCGTAGTGAAACCTTCCTCAAAATCAGGCGATTCGAATAAAACACTTTTTTTTTTAAAGGTATTGGACCAAACTGTCCGAAACTTTGACACGTGACTCGTGATCATCGAAGAATTGTCCTGACACACTGAAAATTTGGATTTTGAAAACAATTTTTTTTAACCTAGCCCAGATCAGGATCAAAAAGGCATTGAGATCTCATATTTCGATCGATATCCAATTATTTAAGGCACCGATATGAGAAACGAAAGTGTCAGGACACTTGTACGACAATTTAGAACACTCTGGTAATTGATAAACTCGGATTTGAACAGGATAAAGGCAAAAAAAAGTGTCTTATCCGCGTCTATGCCAAAACGATGGTAATACTCTCAGTCTAGGAGTGAAAATTTAGTTGACATGGAAATC